CCTGCTTGGTGGCATAGACCCGTTGGGGCTGGCCAGGCTGGCCCGAGGTGGAGCAGGTGCCAGTGAGGTTCTCAATGTAGATGAAGAGCCCAGTGCAGACATACCAGATGACAGTGCCCACCAGCAAGGCACTGAGACGCCGCAGCACCATCAAAAAGCTCTTGGTGGCACCGTAGAGGAATTTGGCCTTGGCAAACTGGTAGGTGGTGACTGCCATGAAGGGCAGCAGAAGCCAGAATGTCCATGCCCAAGCCACCTTGACAAAGTATCTGCCAGAGAAAAGAGAAAGAAAACACATGTGAAACTTCACAGCAACTGGTCTAAGTTGGTGGTGCTTGAAGAAGCAGGTTTTCAAGGTCAGTGTTTGGAGCAGCTAAATCAGACACTCATGCCCTCCCTCAAACAGAGCACAGCTAAAACCTTGACCCTCTCCCTGCTGTCTTCCTCAGGCCCCAGCATCTCAGCACTCCCTCAGCCAGGTACTTCAGCTGCTTCCCAGGCAGCCTCCCCTTGGGCCCAGGGCCCTTGTTTGGACTTGCAGTTCAGTTTTGCAATCACTTTTACCCTACAAACCCGCTCAACTCCGCCTTGCTCAGACTGTAGCTGCAAAGGATGTATTTTTAGCTTGTCACCCTGGCCACAGTAACCCCTTCTCTGACCCTTCATCTCAATAATCCTTGCTTCACACCCTCACCCCCTTAGTACTGAATAAGGCAGCCAGGAGAAGGGCTGACTCTCTTCCCTGATCCCCTAATGAAACACACAAAGCAGCACCATGTGCTCCTTCCTTTCCTGCTCCTCCAGCTGACAAGAGCTTTCCCGTGGCCAACACAAACCCTCCCATCTCTAAATTCACTCTCTGCCTTGAACATTTTTGCTGTGATGCCTACAAAATCCTGAAAGCCAGTCTCCTGTTTAGCAAGAAACAGCACTGCTTAACTAGTCCTCATTTTAAATCTTAAAGTGGAGCAGGTAGAACTGAACTGACTAACAAGTTGAGGAGACCACAGTCTGTGATCTTCTGTCTCCACTTAGTACCTTGCAATGAAGCTGGTGGGAGAGGGGAGCTGGGCAGCCCCTTCCTCACCCACATTCCAGTTTGAAAACCAGACAGCAGAATTCTGGTTTGTGGCTGAGCTACAGCTGGACACACACAGACCTCACAGAATCATCACCTCAACATCTAAGATCAATCCAAGCAGGAATCCAAGCAGTTCTGTATCTGCAACAAGACCCTAATAAAAATGGTCAGGGCCCTGCCAGGGACTTTGAGGAGTAGCTGCTTTACTCTCTGCTTTACAGTGGAGGGGATATTTGTCTGGGAACTACAGCTGCAACCACAGAACAGTATTTTAAAGTAAAATCCTAAGTTTGCTGAGATAGTTAAAAGCAAGAAAGGCTGCTAACAACACTGCTGCTAGCAATCCAGGAGGCAAGTAATAGTTTAGGAGCTGTCCCTACAGACAACCTTACTCTGTTCAAAAAGGGAAACTAGAACTGCAGTGTGATTTTCTTGTAACACCAATGTCACTCTCCAAGTGCTCCTGCCCATCCTCTTTTCAATCACACTAAAAGCAGCTCCTCTCCCCCATGTCACCAAATGACAAATCTGTATCAATAAAGTTCAAAAGTCCTCAAGCCTCAGGGGAAAACCATCACTTCTAGTGTTGCTTTCTGATCTGTAGCAGGTGAAGCACAGACGTGCTGGCCCAGCTCCTCACCTTCCTCATGCCCTTCAAGACGTCCGAAGGAAGTTTTAAACAATGACTAAGCCAGTGAAATCATTGCCTAAGACGCCAGAACACCTATTTTCTTCAGCTTGCTTCAGATCAGTTCAGAAACTAACCGCTTACTCAAACCTGAGGAATTATCTGGGATCTCAGGAAGGACAGAAAAAGCTCCTGTTTTTCCTCTTCCAACAAAGATGGAGCAAGAAACCCCAGCTGTCCTGCAGCCCCGAAGTCCTGCAGCCTCCGGGAGACGTTAAGAGCAACAAACCTCCCCTCAACGGCCCCTTCCCTCCCCCGCAGCGCTTCCCAACCGCTCCCCAGCCGAGGGGAGCTCCGGTTCCTGAGCAGGATCCCCTTCCCACCCCCCTGGGGGGGTCACACACCCGGGAGCCCCCTCAGCCCAAGCTCCAGGGCCCCGCACAGGCCTCGGCAGCCCCGGGGTCGCTCGGACACCCCGGGGAGAGGCCGGGGGGCGGCGGAAGCGCCGCACA